GGGATCAAGTTCTGGCAAGGGCTTCCTGGCAGAAGGCACATAGCAATACGCTACAATGCGCCAGATATCTGCATACCTGGTCGGCAAGGACAAATGCCCGAAGATGCCCCTGGCGCGCAGCTCGCGGGCAATCTGAATCCACCGGACACGGCCCTTCAGCTTCAAGACCACATGGTAGTGAGCCTTGCGCTCCCAGCTTCGTGAGGATTCAGCATGCAGTTCCCGGAAAACAGCGTAGAATTCCAAAGCCTCGCCGTAGACTTCTCGAAAATGCCGCAGCATGCCCTTCTTGGATGTGTTTTCTGCAGTCAAACGGCCCTCGATGGCTGAGTACGGGATCGTCCAGAAATGGACTGTGTGGCCTCGGTAGCTCAGGTCTGGCTTTGCTGCCAGCCTTCATCGCCACCGCTAGCACCTTCCTCCAAATCCAAGACTTCCTCCTCGGCGGGATGCTCGGGCACTTCTGAAGATGCCAGGGAATCAGAACTTGTGGAGCTACTGCTGCTGCTGCTTCTAGTGAAGGAGCCACTGCTGCCGCTCATCGCGCACAAGGGCACTGGGCTGCGGCCAGTCACCCTTCCCCGTGCCCCAACCTAACTGGGCTGCAGCCAGTCACCCTTCCCTGTGCCCCAACCTAACAATGATTTGAGCCGGAATCCACAATCCAACGTCACGACGCAACTTCCACCGTCACATCAATGATGCAGAATGATGCAGAATCTCTTTGCGCGCGCGTAAGAGGCCTAAGCACACTGCCAGCCCCGCCACAAGTCCAGCCCATAAACGCAAGACATCGTAACATCCTCGCAGGGGTGACATCCTCGCAGAGGGCTCCCAGCCAGGCGCTTTCCACGGCGCTTCCTCTGGAAAAGGGCCTTGCAAAGACTTGGCCCCGGACACGCGCACGCACCGGCAGGCAGAGGAAAGCGCACAGGCTGCGCCTACTTTCCCACCCTGGACCGCGTGGCCGCCGAACCTCTATCTGACCGGCCACACGCTCCTCACCTCCACATCATTGTCTTGGTGGGGGGGAAGGGGGAGGGGAGCTGCGGTGGCCCCTGTGGAAGGACGGTCAGCTTGAGCGCGGAGCTCCGCTACCACAGAGCACAAGCTCAATAACAACGCCGACACGCGCGTGGGAAGTCCAGCCCGCGCGGGTCAATGGCAACAACATCGAAAACAACGCCGACGCACGCACGGGAACCTCGTGAGCACCACTGACTGCCACCCTGTCAAAGCCCCCGTGTGCCACATTCTGACCCGTTGGGGGAAGGGAGCTGCATTGGCCTCTGGAAGGACCGTCAGCTCGAGCGCGAAGCTCCGCTACCACAGAACACAAGCCCAAAAACAACGCCAACCCCGTGAGCACCGCTGACTGCCACCCTAGCACAGCTGTCGCAAGCCACGTCTGTGAGCCCAAGCAGATCCGACCGTTCCGGACGGACAAACACACACACACACACGCTAAGGAACAAGGCCATGCCCAAGCCTCACACACACACACTCTCTCTCTCTCTCTCTCTCTCTCTCTGGGAAACGCACGAACACAGAAGAAGGGGAAAAAGGGGAAGGGGGCGTCAGGGCTTCCTTTCAAAACTGCGCACATGGCTCACACTGCAAATATTCTGTCAAACATGCGTCGCCTGCTCCACACAAACAATCGGACAGTTGCAGCTCACACGCGCCTCACACCGCCAAAACGCCAAAACGTGCGAGAAAATGGCTTCAAAGCAAAGGCTTGAACAAGTTTGGCCACGCCCAAGCACAAATACTTCATCATGCACACAGGCACGCAATTAAGCGCTGCGCAAACACACCCACGCGAGCAAGAACCCTGCACGCGGTCAAGAAACCAAACATGCCATGTCTGCTCATGCCACGCACTGTGAAAACGCCAAAGCATGGTTGACTGACATCCGTCTGACCACGCTTACTCAAACAAATGCCACGCGCCAACTTCTTTTTCAACTTTACAGCGCCGCATCGCCGTTGCACTTTCTGGCAACGCCAGCAGCAGCCACAAGAGGAAAACAAGCGCAAAGCTCAGAGAGCCACTTGGTCTTCATCTCCAGGCATTCAGCACACGTGAAAATCACACAGCCACAATTGGTCTTGATCTCCAGGCATTCGGCATAGGCGAAACTCACACAGGCTTCTTGGTTTTAATCTCCAGGCATTCGCGCATCTCCGACTCTGTCAAGCGCCCAAGGGCCTTCTTAATTTTGGCCAGGCGTTTCGCTTCCTTGCGGACTTGCTTGGCAACTTGCCGCTTCTCGGCTGCGAGCATCGAACGCTTCTCTTTCAGCTTTTGCAAGACTGATTGAGTGGCAGAAGCTGTGGCAGACGCTGATGCTGGAGCTTTCTCCTTCAACTTCTCCTTCTCCTCTGGCAACTTTTCCTGGCTTGATGTAAAGGCAGGAGCCGCAGGAGGCGCTGGAGCGTTGGATCCTTCCATGGGCTGTGTCCTGCAGGCTTCGCAGAGCAGGTTTCTGAGCTTCACGCTGCAAGCAACACATCGCAATCACCTTGCTTGCCAAAGTTGCTTCACAATCTGCACGCAACAGGCCTGCAGCCCAAACATAAGCTGGATTCATTTTACCCCCGGCGGCGCTGCGTTGCCGTTGCGCTTTCTGGCAACGCCGGCAGCAGCCACAGCGGCAGCCCCAACAGGAAAACAAGCGTGAAACGCAGCCTTCCTGGTCTTGATCCCCAGGCATTCGCGCAACTCCGACTACACGTCCAACGCTCAAACGGTTGCGTGATCTTGGCCTGGCATCCCTTTTCTTTCCTCTGGCAACTTACAAGCAAAAGGCATGTGCGCGGTAAAGCGGACCCGAAATCGGTCCCCGAAAATGGCCCTGTTTCGCAGACACACGCTAGATCCTCCACTGTATGTATGTATGTATGTATGTATGTATGTATGTATGTATGTATGTATGTATGTATGTATGTATATGTATGTATATGTATGTATGTATGTATGTGTGTATGTATGCATGCATGTAAGTATATCTGTCTGTCTGTCTGTCTGTCTGTCTGTCTGCCTGCCTGTCTGTCTGTCTATGTGTGTATGTTTGTATGTCTGTATGTCTGTATGTCTGAATGTTTGTCTGTCTCTGTCTGTCTGCCTCTGTCTGTCTGTCTTCTGTCTGTCTGTCTGCTGCTGTCTGTCTGTCTGTGTGCATGCATGCCGTGTGTGTTGAACGTGTGTGTGTGTGTGTGTTTGTTTGTTTGCCTGTTTGTTTGTTTGCTCGTTCGTTCGTTCGTGTTCGTTCGTTTCATCGTTTGTTTGTGTGATTGTGTGTTTGTTTGCTTGTTTGATTGATTGATTGAGTGATTGATTGGTTGATTGATTGATTGAATGATTCGTTGATTGATTGATTGATTGTTTGATTGATTGATTGATTGATCGTTTGATTGATGAGCTGATTGATTGCTTGATTGGTTGGTTCGTTGGTTGGTTGGTTGGTGGATTGATCTATGTATTTGTTGATTGATTGAGCTACTGATTGATTGATTGTTTAAGTGATGACTCATTTATTCAACTTGTTTAGATATATACTTATTGGTCGATTGATAAATTTATATATTTATGTACGCATGTTACTTTTGATTCAGTCATTCATTCATTCATTCATTCATTCATTCATTCATTCATTCATTCATTCATTCATTCATTCGTTCATTCGTTCATTCGTTCATTCGTTCATTCGTTCATTCGTTCATTCGTTCATTCGTTCATTCATTCATTCATTCATTCATTCATTCATTCATTCATTCATTCATTCATTCATTCATTCATTCATTCATTCATTCATTCATTCATTCATTCATTCATTCATTCATTCATTCATTCATTCATTCATTCATTCATTCATTCATTCATTCATTCATTCATTCATTCATTCATTCATTCATTCATTCATTCATTCATTCATTCATTCATTCATTCATTCATTCATTCATTCATTCATTCATTCATTCATTCATTCATTCATTCATTCATTCATTCATTCATTCATTCATTCATTCATTCATTCATTCATTCATTCATTCATTCATTCATTCATTCATTCATTCATTCATTCATTCATTCATTCATTCATTCATTCATTCATTCATTCATTCATTCATTCATTCATTCATTCATTCATTCATTCATTCATTCATTCATTCATTCATTCATTCATTCATTCATTCATTCATTCATTCATTCATTCATTCATTCATTCATTCATTCATTCATTCATTCATTCATTCATTCATTCATTCATTCATTCATTCATTCATTCATTCATTCATTCATTCATTCATTCGCGCATGCTCGCATGCATTCAGTTCAGTTCAGTTCAGTTCACTTCACTTCAGTTCAGTTGAGCTCAGCTCAGTTCAGTTCAGTTCAGTTGTTCATGTGTGCGTCTTTTTTGGGGCGGGCCCCTTTCGGTTGGCCTCGCATTTGGTGTAAAGGACACGCATCTGTTGGCCTCGCAAAGGACACCAAGAAATCCTACACATTCCACTTCGAGAGCTCCTGGAAGTTCCACATCTTAGGGCCTTTGCAAGGGGAAGCCCAGAGGAAACAGCCCCTCTGATTCTTCTGGGGGGAAGGGCATCCTCGCTGATTTTTGTGGGGCCTGAAACACCCCTTCCTAAACAGGGTTCCATGTCGGGGGAGGTTTTTGGGGGGGAAGGGGGGTCCTCGTGAACTTTCTGGGGACTGAAAGACTAAATTTCAGAAAAAGGAGGATTGCGTGTCGACCCGGAACCCAGTTGGGAACCCTCTGCATTGGTCGTTGGCGCAAACAACCTCCCTGACAGATTCAGCATAACGGGCCTTCAAAGAATCCGTGATGCGAGACTTCTCCGACTGTTTTGGGAAATCACCCGAGTTGAGGTGGGGAATTGTCAATAATTAGACATCCTTTTTGGGATCCCCCCTTAAAGGGGCCTGTTTTTTACAACCAGGCTTGGATTTGACCGAACCGGTCGATCAGCCGATCCTTGCCCACCACCGTGGCAGTGCCTTTCGGCCCAATATCCACCTCGACCGAGAAGGCGCGGTGCTCCCGAAACTTCCCGAAACATCACAAGGAAGCTCGCTACATGTTCCAAAAGACGGGAGACATGCTTTTGGAACCCTCCTTTTGGGGGGTGCCATTGGGCACAGGTCTGAGTGAAGGGGAAAGGGCGCCTCTCCAAGGTACCTCGTACGAAAAAAGCGCGCGAGCCGTTGCAGCAGGTATCCAAGGAAACCGCTCAAGGAAAATGTCGAGAGTTGCCCACGAACTGGCGACACGCCGATCGGGATTCCACGGAAGCAGGTCTACATTACCCTTCTCGCCCTGGCTTAAAGGGACGCCAAAAAGGAAAGCTACCATTTTGCGGGGGTGCCTATTCTGACACCTGCGCAGCTTGCCTAACTTCGGACAGCCGCGCTCTTTCGAAGCTTCGCTCTGAGGCTCCGGCGCACTCCGTGTCTTTCGGGGGGTTGGCCGGGTCGATGGGGTTGTTCGGCTTCTCGCAGGGGCCCGAACGTCTCGTTTGGAAGTCGACACTGACACACAAAAAAACAAAAACGAGCCTTGGGCAACTTGCGGACCAGTCGAAGACCAAAAAGGCAGTGGGTCCAAAGAAGTAGCCCAAACAAGGCGGTCTAAAACTTAAAGCAAGCGAAGCTTGGCCCGCAACAAGGGGTGCAAGGAAGATATGCTCAGATTCGGTTTCATGTTCCACCCCAAAAACAACCAGGCGGGTGGGGTGATTTTAACCACCGTTGTCTACCCAAAAGAATTGCATCATCCAAATTGGGTCAACCGCTATTTTGATGGGATTTAAGCGTGTGTGTGTGTGTAGATGCATATGTGTATACATATATATATATATATATATCCATATATTACATACGGGTAATTATGTGTTTTTAGGGCCCCCAAAAAAATGGGCCGTTGTCCTCTTGACCTTCCAACCACCCCCCCCCCCCCCCCCCCCGCCGCACAGAAAAAAAGAAGAGGAAAAAAAAGGAAAAAAAGAAAGGAAAAGAAAGAAGACAAAGAAAAGCGCCGCCCTCCCCGCGTTTCGACAGCCCGCAGGTCGCTCCGGGCGGACGGTGCCCCCGGTGAAGCGGCGCAGCAGCACCGCCTCGTCGCCCATGCACCGCATCGGCCTCGGAGCCGAAAAGGGGCACTTTGTGTTAGACCGAACGAAGAAACACTCTATGCTGCGATTGAAGCTCTTGAGTGGTATCCATATCTTTGCCTCAAAGTATGTGTGTGTGGTCATCACTTTCAGCAGACTGGGCATCAACCGGGTATGGTTGCCAATCCTGCTTGTGGTCAGCTGGACAGGGAAAACGGATTTTTTCCCGGTCCCCGTTCGCGCCTGAGAGTTTGGTCTCGCGAGATAGGTTCAGCCGTCCCGTCCCGCGTCTGCCCGCTCATTCTCCACACCCAGGCTGAATCTGGTACTTACTTACGGGACTCTATTCCTCCTTCCCGCTTTCTGCTCCGGTTTCCATTAGAACCGTTATGCGACACCCACGGAAACCCAACAAAAACCCTCGGATTTTGTTTCCTCGTAAGGATTGAAACCCCAGAAAATGAAGGGAACACCCTCGTGTTTGTTTGAGGTTTAAACCGACGGAAGCCCAAGGGAGACCTCAAGTTTCTTCCTGGGCTTGAGGTTTGGTTTTCTGGAAACCCATGGGAAACCCGCAGTTGCTTTGGGTTTTATTGTTTTTGCTGGGCTTGAGGTTCAACGAAGGAAAACCTGGGCTTAGGTTTGGAGAAGCCAAAGCAAGCTTCTCCCCTCGCTTGTTGCCATGTGTGTTGGTTTTACAAATAGTATATGATTGTAAGGGTTTGTGTGTACCACCCTGTGGAAGATATCACGTTGAGTTCTAATCTGTAATCGTCTTGCTCTATCTTTGTGAACTATCTCTTGGTAACCGTAAGATGTACAATGAATGAATCCGAGATTAAACACAGGCAAATGATAGAAGCAAATGGCTTTCTTTGTCAGGCCTTTGTCAGGCTCGTTTGGGTTCCTTGCTGTTGGGTGGTGAGGACGTGGGGGGAACGAATCGAAAGTTCACACCAAAAGATGACGTTCGAATTATCTCAAGAATACACAAGAACACAAACAATGCAGCATCGCCCGTTGCACCCTTCGACTTTGGGTTCTACCAGGACGGTCACAGCAGCTCATACAGGCCTTACTATACCCCCATGAAACAAAGAGGTGCCGAACCCAAGTGATTCACCACACCCATTTTTTCGTAAACAAAAAACAACACCCTTCAAAACCCGGTTCAATGCTTGAAAGATGCCGACCCTATTTAAAAAAAATGGCCAAAAACCGCGAGGGGTCTTTTTCCCATGCTAAACATGGGCCTGGGGGCTCGGGAACCAAAACCGAATCCGAGGCTTCAGCATGTCTCCCAGGCTCTCTCGGGTGCCGATGGCCTCACGAGCGCCACATTGCTGGTCAGGGAATGGGAATTGGCATGCGTTCCCGAGCAAGACCGTCCGATTGAGCTTCCTTTCTTCGGGGAATCCCCGAAACGGTTCATTCCCAACACCGGTGTGGGTTTTGCTGAGCACCAGCAAGAAAATGAGGTGTCTTTTGTCAGGTGTCTCTTTAAACCGACCCCGAAAAGGCTACAGACACACCCCCTGCAACATATCCCCCCCTTCTTGGGGGTTGGATGCTGACTCCTGACGAAAAAGTGGTGGTGTTCTTCCCCGGACAACAGGCTTTCCACATGTACCCCTACAAGAGGGTATTGGGAGTACAAAGGTGTTTCTGGTTCTAGGCGGTTGGCGTCCATGCCTTTCCGAGTGAAACTGATTTTAAGCGCCTAAAAAGGTTTAGTTGGGTCTGTTTGCGTTGGAAATGAATGAGTGAAACTAAATGGATTCGTGCAAATGGAGTTCAAATGGGTGCCGGACACACTTCAGGGTCTGAAAGATTCGTGACCGAATTGCCTGCCTGTGCCCCCGCGTGAACTGGGTCCACTGAAGTGACATCCCCCCCCCAGCCCCCACCCACAAGAACAAATGCAATTTGGGACCCCGAAGCCCAAGTGACGTCGTCCCTGCACATAACCGTCCAGCCCAAATGGACTTCCAACCCAGTGCTTTCGTGAGGGCACTTCCATCTTGGCTCGGCTGAAAAGCAAAAAAAAGGAAACATCCAAAGGGCGAAAAGGGCGAAAAGGCTAGCCTGTCCCACTGATGAGTTCTCCATTTACACCTTTACAATGAGGTGAACATAGATGGCACATTTCGCTTTGTGGTCAGTAACCTGGATGACTAAGCCAGCATGGAAAAAACTTTTCACAGAAGCGATTGATCAAATCCTCTTATTCCCGCTTCACTCTTATTGGGGGCAACGGTTCCCTTTCCAAAGTGGTTGATTGAACCGACCTGATTCAACCACAACCTTGCGCCGTTCCCTGCATTGTCACGGAGTGGTTCCTTCAACCGAATCCAACCACAAGCAGCAGTGGTCGAACCGGCCAAGTCAACCACAAAGCAAAAGAACCGAGAAGAAAAAGTGCATCGAAAGGTCGATTTTTTTCTCAACCCGAGTTCCTTCAAACCCCGGTGGCACCTTGTTTTGCACCAGCTTCAGATTTTCGTAGGCGTTGCACTGGAGCAGAGGCCCCTGCCTCTGCGCATGCGCGATGAACGTTTCTGTGGCTTTGGAAGGCAAGACGCCCTTGGATTCCAGCCAAAACCTTGAAACACGCCCTTGGATTCTCACCATTTTTTCTTTTACCCAAGGGTTTCCATTTCATCTGGGTCTTATTTTCATGGTGTCGCTGTTTTTAGGGTTTTGGGATGCCACTGTGGCGAGCTTGGGCAAATTTCTCACCAAAGGGATTGATTCAAAAGGACAGTGACATGCTGGACTGCTGAAGTTCCCCTAGGGCCCTGGAAGGGCTCGAGCTCGTGGTCGGCTTAGGCACGTGGGAAAGCCGAGGGTTTTGATTCTTCAAACTCAGAGCTGCAGTTCACTCTGGGGTCGAAGGGCTCCTGTCCCAAGAGAAACCCGCTCACCTTGCACAACTTCACACCACGACAAAGAAAAACTCAGGGGAGTGGGGCTGTGAATTTGTGCAACCCTTGCAGCAATGCTGTATAACCTCTTCACCTCTGCTCAATTTGCATGTGAAACATGGCAATAAACAAAATGTTGGTCCGCCCCCAATTTGTTCTGAGGGCCTTTCTTGTGGCTCTTGGGATCCTAGAAATACTGCAGCAAAAAAATGCCTAACAAAAGCCTTCCCCAAGGGAAACGGCAAAAAAGGTGGACCAACACCACAACCGACAACCCCTCCCACAAAAAAACATGACAACGCGATAAAACACGCAAAGAACCACGCCACACCATGGGCCCAACCGCCAAAAAATAGCAACCCCCAACCCTTGGTCCGCATCTGGGGTGCACAGAAATTGATACTTCCAGATTGACCCAGAATCGGCCTTCCTCCCTCCCAGACAAAAACAAAAAGCAAGAAGAAAACCCCCCCCCCCCCTCCCTCCCCCGCCCATAAAAACAAGGAAGAAGCTGCCCGCACGGCCGCCGCGGAAGCGGACACCAGAAAATATCGATCGGCCGAGCCGCGCTTGCTCCATGATGTCCCCCTCTGCTTCCGGGGCCTCTCCCACGGGGAGGTGCTCCGGCTCCGTCTTGCTCTTCTGGGCGAAAGCGGCCAACCCCGATCTCTCCAACCCCAACCCAACGAGACCTTTTGGGAGCTCGCTTCCTTGTCTTGGCTACTTTTGTCCACTTACCGATCGGTTTGTCCAAGAGTTCGCTCTTCTCTCCAACCCCAACCCCCCCAGCCCCCCAACCCCCTAACCCCCCAAATTCCCAAGCCTGGATCTTTCCAGGAAACCAAAGATTCCAGGAACAGCTGGTCTTTGAAAAGAAGGATGGGTCAACAGAATGGGGGATCGACTAGACGAATTGGTGCCCCCTACGCCAAGCATGGCCACCTTTCTGGGGTGTAACGTCAACCCTTGACTAACAAAGGAGGTATCGGCTTTGCTTGTTTCCTAAGCAACACCCCCACAACGCACCCATTGCAGAACTCTGCTTCGTCCCAAGTCCAGCCCCCACAGGGCAGTGGGTCAGCTCCGAGACTTTTTGGGACCGGCTCGTCTCCTTTTCTCGGGGTCCACGATCAGTGCAGCAGCACTACTTTTGTCGACTCCCAACCGATCGATTTGTCGAAGGGTTCGCTGTTCCCGATCAGATGTCCATGCAAACCAAGACAAACAAACAAAAAAGAAGAAACAAGAATTGGCATCCTTGTTTTTGGTACTCGGTTTGACGGGAAACCCCTCCACTGGGGAAAAGAAGATGGGTGCCTGTTAACACACACACACACACTCACTCACTCACTCACTCACTCACTCACTCACTCACTCACTCACTCACTCAGTCACTCACTCACTCACTCACTCACTCACTCACTCACACACACACACACACACACATTCCCCCGCCCAAAACGAAAGAGGCCCCTTCACACAGAAAGTGAATTTCATTCCTTCTATAGGTAAGCTTTCGGTATGTGAACCAGGTTTTAGCATGGTTTTCCCTTACCCACTCTAGTGGCAACCTAAAGGGAAACACTGGGCCACCAGCAAGACGTTCCCCCAGTCGCCAAACATATGAGCTTAAGATTCTATCTTTTGTCTAGCCCATCCGAATCCACTGTTGGAGCCGGGTCTGGAGGTGGTTTTGGACGGGGGTGGCTTCCCGATTACCCTCCAAAGGGCCTTTAAATCTGGAAAATCCCCGACCAATCCGAAGCCAAAATGAAATCCCCACTGAGCACCAGCAAGAATTGGGCCTTCAAACCCCCCAAAAAAAAACGACCAACGCGAAGCTATGCCAAAAATCCAGACCAGGAATCCCAGGAATCCCACGCCGCCCGCCACGAGAATCCGAATCCCGAGAGCCTTCTTGAAGAGCCCCGACACGAACTTCATGGCCATCCCACCCAAAGAGATGTGCTCCGCCTTTAGCAACGGCGGGTGCGTCCTGGGACGATGGGCCTCGTTTTTTATGGGGTGGAGAAGGCGCCCAGTTGAAAGGGAGACGGAAACAATGTGAAAAGGTCCCGTTTTGGGGGAGAAGGAGCCGCTTTTGGGTGTAGAAGGGGTGGAAATCTAAAACCACTTCAAAACAAGACAGGACCTGTAAGAGCTGGTGTCTCAAGAGAAATCTGGTACATTGCACCAAGCCTAAACCTGACTCAAATGCGGCAGCGACAGCTAGGTCCAAGGGTCGGCCTCGAAGGGATGGATGAAATCCGGCACCAGTTGCGTGGGAGAAACACCTAGCAACTGGTAGCATGAACCAAAGCTTGTGGGTTCCCTTGAGGAGATCCTGTTGTGGCTTCCCAAACCCTTCCCTGAGAACCAGGAGCTTGGGACGGATTCGAATGCAACTTCCAACCACGAGCCGAGGGATACCGATTTTTCGAAAAAAGAAAGCTCTGGCAAAAGGTCTGGTGTCAATTGTTTAAGAAAGAGCTGACAAGAATCGGGGATCCGTCTTGTAACTGCTGGCATTCCGTCTCTGGCCAGCATACCATTTGGGTTTGTCAGTTTGGATTTGTTGAGGCTACCCTCGGGTTGATACCAAAACAAAAAGCCAATGCCAGCTTGGGCTTTGCCACATACCCATACAGAAATTTCCCATCTGAATATTGTGCCCATGGGCATGGATCTTGAGTAGGGACCCTGTGGGAAGGACATCATTTCGGCAGGGGAAAACGTCCGTCCGGAGGCCTTTTTTTCCCAACCATGGGTGTGGCAAGCGTCAGAGGGCCAAAGCCAGACCCCTCTGAATTCAGAGGGCCGTCCAAAATCCAAGCCCAAAGTCCGGGTACAACACTTCAAAGCGCGGAAGGGCAATGAGAACTTGGACTGGAGTGCGTGCTGCCCACATGGGCAAACCATCGCTGTTCGCCTGGTCGCTGGGAATTGGGGTCCTCCCTAAACCAACTGACTGCCAAACTGTTTGCCAGCGACTCGTGTCTGGCTCAGCTCAATGTTTATCATGTGCTGCCTGTTGTGATTTCAATTAACAGAAAGCATTTAGTGTGCTCTGTGTATTATGGGCTCGTTCATCCACAACACCTGGCTGGTCGCTTGATTCAATCTCCACCCCGTCGCAAGTTGTGAAAATAACTCTTTCTGCAATACCAAAGTGGGATTCCCCCCTACAGATGTTCAGTCACCTTAAAGTCCTTTGGTACAGCTGAAGTTGGGACATCTCGCTCCCCACCATGTTCCGCACCCTGTCCTGTGGGTGAAGTACCCGTAGGGCGGTCGGTATTCGCAGCAGTGATACCACCTGAGTTGACCCGCTCTGCTCAAATGCCCTTCCGGCCGTTCCTTGCTTCCGGCTGAGCTTTTGTCACAGGCCAACCTCAATGAACCAAGTAGGAACCGAACCTACCAAAAAAAAAACTCTGTTGTTTCCGGGCTCTCCTTAATTGCTGTTGATTTCAGTTCTGACCAAAAACTATATGGGCCAAGATGTTTCAGGGTTTAGGGCGCGTGGACTTGGGGCTCCAAGTGAAGTTCCAACTTGGGACCAGAAGTCGGCCAGAAAGGCACAGTGACGGCTTGGGGTTTCACAGCTGCCCACAAAATGACAAGGGCGTTCAGCCTAGAACACACACTGGTCACACTTCACGGATTCGTTAGCCGTTGCAAGCGTCAATCGAATCGAAGCCCATTCAAGGATTCGGGCTCTCAGGATTCATCCGCGCTTGAACACGTATTGGTCGATCTCTCAGAAAAAACTCTGATGCAGGCTTCCTTGTATGTATGCTTGAAACATCCCCCGAAGAGAGGAAGCTCAATAGACACTGACCGATCCGAAATGTGAGGCTTGAGCCACCCGAAAGGGACACCACCGAAAACAGACCCCTTCCTCCCTCGCCCCCCAGAAAGAAAAACACAAAACATGCAAAAGAAACTGCACCGTAAAAAAACGGCCGCAAAACGTAAGGCCTCCAAACCTTACCACCCCCACAACCATTTTACTGGCGAGTTGACCCAATCCGCTCGCTCGCCCGTCTGGGCCGCTGGCAGCCCGTCCCGAGAGTCGTGGATGTAGATGGGCCGCTTCACCCGCTTGTAGGGGTTCTCCGTCTCATAGGGCACCCCGCAGTCCGTGTTCACACTCGGCACGGGTCACACAGAAAAGGCAAAAAGTCAAACGCGGAAAGCGGCGTTTGAGAGAGGAAACAAGAGCTGCACCACACGTCTCTGGGCGAATTGCTACCTCCAAACCTTAGTTGCAAATCACTGTGTCGTCACCATTGTTTGCAGAGGGTGGTGGTTCCTGTTGATCGGGGCAAAATCCTATGCCTCACCAACGGGGCCTTCATGGCGGGATGAACCAAGTGGGTTCGTTGTATTGCCCAGACAGTATGATATGTAAGACTTATTTGCTGCATCAAAGTGGGTGACCCCTGATATGGTTGAGTATAGATGGCACAACCTCACCGATTTGGTGCTGATCATCCTCTTTCCTCGCGGACACAAAGGAATGTTGCCGTCCACGTTCGCCCCTTTTTGATGATACTGCGGATGGACACAATCCGCTTTGCACCAGTTGGGTGAATGAAACCCTGCGAACACTGGGATAAACCACTCCCTGCCGGCGCAGAGTAGATTTTGCGCATCAATGGCACAAGCGTTGCATGTGAGGGGTTCTCAATACTGTGGATGGACGAAATCCTGCACCACTTTGAAACCATGGGAAACCATAATCTGTTGGAGAATCATCATTCCAGGGTTTCTTAGGTGGTGCCTAAGAGATTCGACCATCCACAGTATTACTTACTTCTGGGACCCATTTAGGTACTGACTGGCCATGGAGCCAAAAGGGCGCCAGCAAACGAAACGCCCGTGCAACGATCCGAAAAGCCTGGGATATGTGGGTGTGTTTTGTGGAGCTGGTACCCTGGCTTGAAGGCATTTCTATGCGTATCCTCGTATTTGTGGGTGAAATTTAGAGCTCGTCCCCGTTCTCGTCCCTCCCATAGACAAATCCGGATTTTGACCAGGTTCGAAGCAGCGAAAACCAAAGTGCAAGGGGAGCTATTGCCAAATAGTGGCCATCAGTGTTTTTTGGCCAAGGGAAAGCTGACTGTGAAGGGCCGAAGACCCGTTGGCCTGGCTCCGAGCACCTCCTTGCCGACATAGAGATCCCGCAGCCGCATGCAATCTGTGGCGGTTAGGCAAGGGACGCGCTGCCATTGCGCCACGAGCCCGTGACGTAGAGGGTTGAAACATTTAAGACTGAAGGTAGGGTGACAAACGAAAATCCAATAAAGCATCAACCCTCCCCCTTTTCGGAAAAAATGTGTACACTTGCAGCTCAAAGTTCATTTTCCAAGCATTTGGTGAGGTTCAGCAGGGAATCACGGAGTGGTTTCCTTATCGGGGTTGGCAGATCGTGCCATTTAGGTCTGGTTCAGGGTCGGTTTAGGATTGGTTTAGGAAGTTTAGGGTGGGCTTAGGGTTGGTTTAAGGGTCGTTTTGGGGGGGTTAGGGTGGGCTTAGGTTGGCTTTGGGCTGTTGGATTGGCGTAGGCACGGATCGCTCCATTAAAAACCCCTCAGCGAGCTCGGTACAAAGTGTGAAACAAGAAGGGCGTGTCAAAAAGGAGACGGACAGGACCCCAAAACTGGTGACCTTGCCCTTCCAAGCCAAAGGAAAGGGGGCGGAAGATACACGCCGACTTTTTCTGAAAGAAACACACAAGTGTTGGAACCATGAACCGACTGCAAGCTCTACAATCGCAAGCTGAAATTGGTGCCTTTTCTTTTTTGAACGGAACCCCCAACCAAAAATTCCCCCGCTTCGGCGTCGCTTTTCTCATTTCCCTTCAAAACCTTCTGCCAACTTCGGGGCATCAGACCTCCAACAGATCCTTCCCCCCTCCGGGTCCTGGGTCCAAGGAGTGGATCGACTCATTGGAGCAATCGAAGACGAAGGACGTCCTCGCAGAGAGGGAGCTCCTGGTAGGCGAGAAACTCGGGGAAGCGAAGAAATGGTTTCCGTAGTCATGTTGGTGTCTGTCCTTTATCTCATGACATCTGAGACCAAAGATCCATGTTGATTCAATAGTGTTAGACAACTAAAAGTGCACTTACAAGGAGCACCGTACAGGAAGCTTGCTGTTTGCCCCACTGGCAAGTTGTTGCGGTGTGAGGGGGCGGATGCGGAACGCTTTCAATGGGCTGACCAGATAAGACTCGCCTCCAAGTGTGTAGACTCGCACGTTGGGCCAAACACGCAAACCGGCAAACAACGACAAAGAGGTGTGTCCCCAAATTGATCTCAGCTTCGAGTGGACCTCACAAGAATCCCTTTGATGACGGTTGACTACACCACAAGAGAACAGGATGCCACTGAACAACTGGGGCTGTAAGAAGCTGCAAAGGAGCAGCTCTGCATCTCTGTTGGTAGACATGTACATGGGCATCCTTTGCATGACCATGCATGTTCATCAACCATTTGGCGGGCGCTCCATAGGAATTGCATGGTCATCTCCGAGCAAACACTGAGCCATGGACGCCAGGTGTGTGATCGTCATGGCACGCGTTGCGGGCGACGGCCTCGGAAGCGGAAGAAGCGCTACGGGCAATGGTTGCTCCCTGGGGCCTCTACATGGGTATGGGTCAAAAATAGGTACCCAAAAAAGAACCCGGGCAAATGGAACCAAGGACTAAAACCTGCGGTCCCCTGGTGGTTTGACTTCGACCCAGACCCACATGCAACAAATTCAACACGCGTGCATCATCCACAATGGTCAGTGATTCAACTTGTGCTAGTTGTTGCCCACCAATATCTTTTAGCCACCGACCCAGCCTTCACTCAGATTGCCTTCAGCCCAACATAATGACCGACAAACATGCTTCCGGACATTTCCCCCGTTGCAAATTGGGTTTCGTATATGTCCCCCTTTGGAGTGTTTCGAAAAATAGCCTTCTAGGCCAATCTAAAATAAGTTTCCTTCTGGGGGGCGATTCCTTTCGGCTTCCCTTCAAAACCACCCTACTAGGTGCTTTTTCCACCTTTTTGAGAACCACCCCCCCAAAAAAAGAGAAGCTTCGGATACATCCAAAGACCGTACCATATAATCAAGGGTGCTCTTTGCTTTGGGGCTTGCTCTGCCTCGCTGAGACCCCCGGCCACGTTGGGATCCGGCACAGCTGCAGGGCCCAAGACTACATGGCACAGACCCATCTACCCGCTACGCATCTGCATCGACGTGCGAGGATGAACATGTGGGTGTTTGCCGAAGGGAAATTCTTTCGGCTGAAAGCTCCGGAGGAAGGAAACCGACCAACTTTAAAACAGCAAGACAAAAACAGCGAAACTGTCTTAAAGCTTAAAGATGGCGCTTTCATGCCTCAAAGGAAACCAAAACCAAAGCCATTTTCCGCAACTTCCGAGAATGGTGCGATGCGTGCTGAATGGTGGTAGTTCCTTCCAGCAAAGCTGTGCATGGCTTTGAACCGCTGAGAAGCGACCAGGCTTCGAGCTCTTCTAGAGGAATCAATGCCAGCACTGGTTCCCTTTCCACTTAAACGTACTGATTTAGTCAAGCCAACACCACCTGGTTGTGGGAAACCGCTCTTATCGCCAAGCTACAGGCGAAACATCCTTGCAGTGCGGGTGTGGAGTACCTCAGACCCAAGTTTTGCACTAGTCTTGGTCAATGTTCAGCCCCTCAACTTTTTTCTGCTTGAAAGCGTAACCCTATTTTTGTTGCTTGGGAACAAGTCAGACGTTGCCAATCCCTACTGTGATTTGTGCGCCCCGATTCCGCTGCAAAAGGTCCTTCACCTTCAGGCGACCGATCTTGAGTCTCGGAACTGACTTGACAGTTCCTTTCAAATGAGAATACTTTCAAATTCACGTGGAACCCCAAAAAGGGGTCCCCCAAAGCAGGCTCCTCTAGTACATAAAAGTTTGAGGCAAAATCGGGGGGAACAAGAAGGCTGGCTGTTTGGTCTCCTTTTGCAAAGGGTGCCCTCAAAAACAGACACCCACATGATGAACTATTTTTTTTTGGGGGGGGGGAGGGGACCAGAAGGGTCCAAATGATTAGAATGGGGTCGTTGGACCAATTCAGTCATGATTCCAGCTGTAGTTGGGCCCTTTTCCAGGTTCAAATCCCAGGGCGTTGAGTGAAAGTTTGAGCTTTGGGTTGCGGCCACCACTAAACCAAGAAAACAAACAAAAGTCCAAAGTTCACAAGCTTGGTTTTGGCCAAGTCAACCATGCGAGTGTGAATACATACGGGGGGGGGGATTATGAGGGGGTTCGACTCCAAAAGGTGATAATTCCAGGGTTAAAAAAAATCACATCAGGTTGTTTTGTAAATTGAAAACACTTTTCTAGGGATAAGCCATGAGTAATTAGTTCGCCTCATCTTAGCCATAGGTTTGGCCTCAAAAAAAAAAACGGGGTCCCATGGCTTCCTCTTGGCTTGGCCTCTAAAAACCAACCCCCACCCAAAAAAAAGAAAGACGCGACGCCCACACCAAACCCCCCACTGGTCGACGTCTCTCGAAGCCAACGAGCTCTCCTCGCTCGCGCCTCCGGGGTCTCAGCCGCGCCAGTAAACTCTCCGGCGCCTTCGAATGACCCGCGCGGTCCGGTTTTGGCCGGCCGAAGGAGAGAAAGAACCCCTTGAAAGGGGGGCGAAACTCAGCGGCTTTGGTTCCAAAGGAAAGCAAACCATTGACTGGGAGCGTAAAGCGAAAGGAAAAGTGAGTTGTTTTTCAAGGAAGATTGAAGGAAATCACAAATTCAACCGTAAGGGGAACCATGAAGTGAACCGTAAAGTGAAGACTAAAGTAAACCATGAAGTGAAGCCTAAAGTGAACCATGGAGTGAACTATGAAATGGACCATTTGGTGAAACCGTAAAATGACCCATAAGGTGCCACAAGTTGAACAAGAAAGGACCATAATCAAACTGTTAATATGTGTCCAATATTGAAGAGGTGTTTGATTCGTTCACCTCAAAAGGGTGACGTCTTCTAAAAAACAAATCCCAAAGCCGCCAAAAGAACTCTTAAAACATTAAACCTTCAAACACGAAGTCCCAAAGCTTCCGAAGCTTTCAAAGCCTCCAAAGGTTCCACAGCTGCCCAAGGTTCCAGTGGCAAAGGTTCCAACAGCAAACCACAACAAAAATCACGCCAATAATGGGATTTGCCACAAAAGGGACCTACGACCCCATCTCACCTGGTCATGTCTGCCCACCTTTTGGAGGGCGTTCCTCATTGAAGTTGGGCGAACAGGAATGTCCAAAAGATATCCAGACATCACCTTAGTCACAAAGAGATCCTCCAAATCAGCTAGTACATGTGGAGGTGTCATGTTTAAAACCCTTTTGGGATGCGTTCAAATGGGGGGGGTTCTTCTATTGAAAAACAACCCCATGCAACTCGCATTGCCCAAAAGGGCAAACCCGTGATGCCCAAATCAAAGCTCAAAGGTAAAGGGGTCCCAGTGGATGTCCATGAGAGAAAACTGGCAGTCTTTCTTGGTTGGTTGATTTGAAAGGGGCCCACCCCTCCCCTCCACAGGTCTCAAACATTGAAAGACGTCATTCCCGAAGCAGAGCGTGAACTCCCTTCATTGAATTATGCTTTCGATTCCTCCCGTGGGGGTACGGCATCAGCCAATGAAGCCCTGGTATGAATTGGTTGATTGGTTCATTCAGCCAATGATGGCTAATGTTGTCGCTTGACAGTTGCGAAGCCAGCCAAAGACCCAACAAGTCCAGTGAAACGCAAAAAGAGCTTCATACAGCTAGGTTTCATCCCCTTTGTTTACCCACAAGGGATTGTTGCCATCTACTTCCGCGCCGTGAACATTGATTGCACAGCTGCTATGCTCTTCCCTCCGAGACATGGGCAAATGAGTTGCACTCAGTTTCGCGGTTCGGGCCATACATCTCATAGCTACGTTGTGCCATGAAGGCAAATGATCAGACTCACTGCTGGAAGTGCAGCGCAACTTGGCAGCATTCGTATTGAGATGTTCGCGTTGGCACGAGACTTGATTGGACCGGCCGCTGGGTGCGGGCACAGGCGAAGAGAAGCCGTGCGTGGTTCGTCTGTTACACTGCCCCATTGATACAACACGTGCAGGAGGTGCACGCATCTACGCGCCAAACTCCACGACAGCATGCTGTGCAATGTGGAAGCTGGTCCGCTCGCGCTGGCCAAGTTTGGTTTGTCCGTCAGAAGGCAGTGGATCGGTCAGACAGTTCTGCTGAGCAACCGCAGCTCGACAGCATGTCCTGCCAGAGGTGTCGTTGCTTTTTCAAAGCCCCATTTCGTTGATTTTTCTCCATTCTATGTCGCACCATGAGGGCGCCTTTTGGGGAGTGGCGCCTTTTGGGGAAGTGATTCCAACCGGACAACCGATGCCGTTCCTGGGTCCCAAGAATCCCAATTTTGACGCCATCCCAAGAAAACCTCCGTTTCCGGCAGGCAGCCCCCGCCTCGGCCGGCTCTGGGTTTGTTGCATCTTGTTTGCCTGACTGCAAAAGGGCTCCGAAGAGACTCTTGACTTTGGATCCATGGGACCCGAATCAGCCCCGTAACATAGATCTCAGTGCTTCCGAGAGAAAGCGGCTGGGTAGAGAGGTTCTCCGGAATCCGAAGATCATGTTAGTCAAGCTGCTGCTTTGGTCCCAATCAGTTTACCCTACAGTCAGAGTTAGTGGGGAAAAAGAAAAGCAGGCGATGCAAGTTCCTCTAAAATCGAGGCTTCTTGTTGGGATTCCTTGTGATCTGGGGCTGGTTTCTGCCATTGGCTCAAAATCTGTCGCCCCCTGCATTTGTTCAGTCGCTTCAGCGCGGGATTTATGGGGGCTCATATAACCGCCTAAAAAGGTATAGGTATGTCTCAAAATAGGGTTTACGAACCAAACTGAACCTGGATACCGTCAGACATGCCCCAACCCCAGATTGTGGACATAAGACTTTCATGTCCCAAGGGGTCTACCATTCCACCAAATCATTGAAGTAATACAAGCGCCGGTGTCGACCTATGCGGTTGAGTCTGTAGATCCAAGGCCGTGCAGCACCAGCTCTGCTTCGCTTGGTGCAAGCCATCCAAGCATCGGAGAAGGTGTAAGTGCCTTGCTTGTTCAGGGATCCTTAGATTATACACCTGAACATTGCCTTGTCAATGGTGGTTTCCCCCTTATTTTGGTAATAATAATAATAAAAAAGAAGCCATGCTTCAACTGGGAAGAACGTATCTTTTAGGGAGCCCTGTTGTTCTTCCATGTCTTTTGGACATGTGGAAAACCCCCAAGCGTTGCTCGTAGGACACAACCCTCAGCATCTGTGCCTCAGACTGCGGGTGCCGAGGCAACCGCTGAAGGCTTTCTGTGACATAAACTTGTCTTACAGGAGCCACAAAATGGATGGTGCTGCTTTTGGTTTCCTTTGCAACCAATCCAAAACAGGATCCAATGTCCAATGACTCAAGAAAAAAACGCACACGCCACCAAAACTCCCATTCTAGACCCCATCACTACGGGGCTAGACATTCGGCCCCG